GGAAATATCCAGAAACTGCAACATAATAAATTTTGCACTGGTTGGATACTATTTGAGATGTTACTGTGACCTATAATTTCAGGGTGAAAGGAATCTGTTTGTGTGCCATTAAAGCGTAAAGCGTATCGATTTATAGACACTCCTCTTACTGACAAACTTTGTATTTCAGTTTCTTAATCATTTATATATTTTTACTTTCTAATGTATATTTGAAATTACAGTTAATTCTGCTAACCATCAAATAGATTTTTTAGCTTTCTTTAAAAAAAAGTCCATGTTACAGATCAGCATCCCTCTTGTTACTGATTAAACTATGCAGATATAATTAAGGTCACCTGACATTTCTGGTGCTAACCTTTATTCATATCTTTTTTGGTACCATTTGCTTTTTCCTACTGGCTGAACAGTTGACAAATACTAACAGTGTGTCAGTGAAGGATTTATTTGCTAATGTATATAACAGACATGGAGTCTCCTCCAACTTAATAATGACTGACTTTTTTCCCATAACCTTTGTCCTTAAGCAGCTCGCAGATAAAACTACTTAAATTAAAGATGAATTTTTAATTAGAAGTTTGAATAATTATGTATAATATGGCTTTTTAATTGATTAATTATCTGAAAAAGGGAATTGATAGTTTAAAATGTTACATTGATCAGTATATGTAATATTTGAACTTGCTGGTTCTATTCCAGATATTGCCATGAGGGTGGAACTCCACTGCTTCTGTATCCAATCCAGGATTTTCCTGTTGCATGTGTTCATTGTCATAACAAAATGTTGTTTGAAATGCAAGTTCTTCCCACGCTGATTCCAAAGTTACGATTACTGGGCCCAGGAGGAGAAGGTGCGCATCTTGAATTTGGGACAGTTCTAGTGTTCACTTGCCGACAGAGTTGCTGGACCACTACAGATGCGTGGCGAGAAGAGAGGGTAGTAATCCAAGCTGAGAAAATCTAAATAGCAGAACTTGGTTATCAGTGGCTATGTCCAGATAGTGCATGATCTCATTATATGTCCATGCTTTTGTCTTCAAATTTTACATTTGGTAGTGCCAAAATTATGTATGTATTTGTAGTACATATTAATGTAAATGAATATACAGAACGACTTTTAACCCTTTTACTGATAGTGAAGAAAAATGTATCATTTTACTGTATGTTGGTCGGTACTGGCCCATTTTTCAGAATTAGGACAGTAATATAGTTTCCCATCTTTGTACATGTTTTTTCCATACGGTTAAGAATTGTTTTTAAATAGTGTTTCATGTATTTGGCAGAATAGTTTCATCCGCAACACAGAACATGCTTTTCTGCGTCAGAACTCTTGTACCCATGACACAGGATTTATATTTAGCGGATATGTCACATCCATAAAACACAGTGTGTCTTTTGTGCAGTGTAAATGGTATGTCCGTAGCAGAGTAGAATTGTTTTTCTCTACAGTTTGAACATCATAGAACAGCATTTCTGAAGCCAAAATATGCTCAGGCCAGAGTCATGAATGAAAAAGTTTTTGAGGCTAAATTCTGTTTTGAATAACCTTTAATGTGTGTGTTCAAAAATATGACAGGAGATTCAGTAATTAAATGTGTAAGTACTGCAATGAGTTTTTGGGATTGAAACAAAAGATCCTTTGGTAACATCAAATGTGGTTTTTACCCTGTTTTTTGTATTCATGAATATTCAGAATGGGGTAGTATTCTTCTTCTATGATGCAACAGCCCAAAGTTGAGCCTTGGCCTTCTATAGAATGGGGTATTATTCATTATTTTTGAAGATACGCTAGTCAGTAACAGTTTTATTTAAAGTAATGTGAACTGAAAGACAAATGTTTGCCATTAAGGAGGAAAATTGTAACAGATTTACTTCTTAAAAATAACTTCTGTCGGATGTCATCCATTAAGATTGATACACTAATGCACTTGATTCATGCACTTTCCATTACGTCTGGCAGACATAAATAATCTCAAACTGAATTTTTAAATAAATTCATGCCATATTACTGGTCATATTTGAAATGCTTTGCTTTTCAAGTAGCACCATAAAAACAAATCATATTATGTTATGTAAATGTATAAACAAATGAAGAAATCAGGCCCACTTTTATTACTGCTTTTTCTCCAGAATGGTGGTCCCTTGTTTTATCCTCTATTATGTCTGTGTCAAATGGATTCATGACTATGCTATAGAACAGTCATTGTCTTATCTCATTTCTGAGTTGGGAAGAATTTCAGAAAGTCTTCAAGTTCCAAGATTCAGATTCCAGCATTTCTTTTGCATCTTCATGACTGTGTAAAGTATTGATACCTGATTTTTTACTAAATAATGTGTGTCCTCAACTTAGTCATCTTAATAACCTAAAACAACAAGGCATGACATATTTTAAAACCAAGGAAATTTAATTGTGTTTAGAAAATGCTGACTGCTGCTCTTTTTTTTCAACTATTTGAAGATCATGTGATTTCAATCAAAAATAGTAGCACAAACATTCTGAAACCAAATAAAAATATAATTGTACATTCATACTAGTTGAACAGACAACCCACATAAAGTACAGGCATCTTGGGAAGAGGAAGAGAAGATTCGCACCGACTGAAGAAAAGTTAGGAGTATACGTGTAAATTCATGCACTATTCAACCCACATATGTGGATATGAATATGGGGGGAAATTAAAAAGGACATATCATTTATACTGCAAATTTTACTCATCAGATAAGAAAACCAGTGGGATCAGATGCATTCCATTTTATGTTATAATTCAGAGTTCTAGCATTGCTTCTTTCACCACATGCAGGATGTCTCTTTATACATACATACATCTTTATTACATTCCATGATTGGTAGATCATTCTAGTTTCATTTGTTCTACGTGAGTTATGTAGCTTCTTTGGTAACAGTCAGATGAATTTCTTGTTTATCTGGTGATAACTTTTTTTATTATATTTCATTCTGGTGCTGTTTTCATTAGTTAGAATGTAAACGAGATTTTCTTCCATCTTAGCTCATAGAAAAATGTGTAGTATTTAGTTTACTTTAGCTTGTAATGTAGTAATGTAGCATGCATTTGCTTTCCCATATACAGTAGCCATCAGGATATTTGGACATAGACCATGTGTTTACATAAATAGATAATACTAGTCATAAATTATTTAATTCTCTTTACATGTATAATTAAGACTTGAAGTTCAACCTTTAAAAGGTTATTTACAAAAGACTCCTTTTTAGTATGTTAGTCTGTTTAGATTCCATTTATGGTTAGGAGTGACCGAATTTTTTGTGTATGTGCAGTCAAACCCTGTTAAAGTATCACTCTCTGTCCAGCACTAATATTGGCATTAAAGTAGGGCTGGCAGAAATTGAATTAAATTATGTTTGTGTGTATTTTTATGAGGATAAAAAGGGCAAAATTGTAGAAATTTGAAACTTCTGTAATGGTGCCGTATTATTTATAATATAATATTTATCTTTATTATAATCTCACTGGAGCACAGTACATACCAGTTTTTATGTACAGAGTCTCGCGAGTGCAATGCAAGGGTGACTGTATGTACAGGAATGCTGTGTCAGGGTTTGACTGTAATTCCAACTTGATAAATTTGTGTTATACTGATGTATGAAAAAATGAGCTGTGACATTGTTCCTGAACTTCAGTTTATTAGTAAATCACGTGAACAATTCTTTGTGGTTAACGGGTGTAATGCAAATTTGTCATTTGATTGATGTGAGAGTTACTGGCATAGTATTCAATAGGCTGTCCTTCCTCCCAGAGGTTTACACATGTTGATATAATTACCAAAGATTTATTCTAAAGAAGACATTTAACACTGACTCTACCAGTCTGTTTAACCATTTCCTTATCCTAAATAAGGGATTCCAGAGTTTCAGTGTCTCTCATAGGCACTTCATCTCATGTTGCTTAATAATGCCTGTCAATAGTGTAAATGTTTCAGCTCAGCCTACAAGAAAACCAGTCGTCAATAAAGAAAATGTTACTATCCAAAATTAGCTTGGGTTTAAAATTTTGCCCAAATATTATCCTCAATTAACTTGTAGCAGTTAGAATTTTGTGGCTACGTAGTGTCTCAGGTTTTTTTCATTTACAGCAATAATTTAAGCTTCTTTTTGCTAGATGGAACCAGTGATCAGTAATTCATTGAAATATACTACTTCTGACACATTTCTTTTATACTTTGTTTTTATTCATCAGTTCAAAATATTTTGTGTTTTTGCAAAGTTTGTCCTAAGATGACATGCTCACAAGATTTAAACTCTGCACTTTTTGATTTCTATAATGCAACCTAACAAAATAGAACACTTTAGAATACTACTGTGCTTCATGAAATTTGTAGGCTTTATTGTCAAGTGAAAATCTAAATTTTGAAGGTTCTGAGATCTAATGTCCTAGTATTATTGGGCTGATCAAATCAAGAAGACCTGAGGTGTAATATGCTATGGAAAAATATGAAATGACAAAATATTGGTAAGTATGGTGTAGAGATTGTGAATGTGTGTAGCAAACAATGTTACAGGTTTCTGTAGTGCAGTGTTATGTGGAACAGCAAGGAATATCACAAACAGCTGAATCATTGTGGCCTGCTCAATACCATGCAATTGATAGCCAGGGGTTAATTGCTTTCATAAGTGACTGCCATAAATACAGATGTAAATTCAAGATTCATTAATTAATGGTAACTCTGCAGTTTTGATGCGAAACCAAAGCCTTACACGTTTTGAAAATCAAATGGTTAACAAATCTTAAGAAGTTTGGTTATTTTCTGCATATATGTACCAGGTAATCACAAAACTAAAGAAAGACATGATATTTCGTATGCATAACTGAGATTTGGCATTCTATACCTTCATATTTTTTAATCCTTTGTGACAGTGTGTTAATATCAAAAAGAGAACATTATATTAATTCTAAAGTTTGTGTAGTAATTCCTGTGTACATAAAGGCCGCACAGTGTGTTATGCCGTAATTCTTCATTTATATGAACAATTTGACGACTATTAGAACAAAACTGCAAGCTATTCAAACATTTCGCGCACACTCTCAAGAGATTCTTCCACCAGATGTAGCTAATAGTAAGGGGGAAGTCAGAGTTCCTAAGAGAGGGTCCTGTCAGTTTTACCCTTGCCTTCCTGCTACATACCGAAAGGAATAACTGCTTCTTTCAGAATAGGCCTTGTGTGTCAACGCGTTTTGCGAAAATAGTGAAGTATTCGTCAAAGTGATACAATACAACCTAGTGTTTCAACCCGATTTACATGAAGGGTAATAATCGTGAACTGAATTTTGTCTATACAATTTTAACGTGAGACTTTTTATCTCTCCTATTCGGAAATCACGTAAGCCTATCCAGTGATATAAGTTAGAAGCATGCGCCACTAAGTGTGAAATATGCCAATTGAAAACATGGTAGTTTAAACTAGAATTGTTTTTGCTTATATGTCAGTTTTGGCAGAAATAAATTACGTAATTGATTGATACCAGGCACCCTTTCCTCCGGGTAAAGCGGTCCGAGGCTTGAAGCTGACCACACTTTTCCGTCTAGTGCCGAGGTCAAGAAAAACTGGGGAACCTACATCGCCCCACACATCTTCATTACGTGATGCTTAATAAGAACTAGGGAAAACTTAATTTCATCGTCGTTGTTGCACCAATGAAATGAATGAAAGAAGCACAGAAAGCAGAAAGCAATTGTCTCATCAAACTTAATTTCTTCCTGGAAGAAATTTTGTGATATTACTATTATCAGAACATGAAAGTTGTCTAATGTGGAGGCAGTATGATCCTCCACTATGGAAATTGCTGAATGTGAAGAAGGATGCAGTATTCTTGTTCGAAACGTTGATACCCATCTATAAGACCTCATGTAACCACATACCAAAACACCACCATCGATATCTTCACTACTGAGTTAAAATCTTATATCCATGTAACTTTGAAGTTTGAACTTTGCAGTTACAGATTGTTAGACCGCCCCCATTCTGCTTCGCCTCATTAATGACTCTTTTCAGTGGTCAACACGAGATGAGTCGCTCTCGAAGAACAAGGCTGGAGGGAGTGACCGAGGTACTGCGTGGCCTTGGAGACTCAGGTGTTAGGGTGGGGCACAAGAAGCCAATAATAATCGAAGAAGCTATACGTTCTGCAGTAGCGATGTCAGAAACCACACGCGACTTACAAACCTTTTTGTATGTCTCGGTAGACGCCTGAGTCTGTTTACTGAACCACTTTCAAAAATGGAGCATGCAACTTTAAGGCTGTAAGAACCACAATTTTATAAATAATTTTCCACCGTGATAACTGTGTAAAGCGAAGGGCATTGGGATTTTTATTTTGAACCTCCACGTTGAGTGAAGCGCTGAATATTATCATCGTTAAAAGCAGTATCTTTTAGAAGAGTTTAAAAAAATACGTAGATCCAAAAAGTTTAGAAAATGTCTGTTCTTTTGCAAGTATCAAAGTATGGGACCGATATAGATGGTAAACTTTATTGAGCCTTTTTAACGCAGGCCTAATTTTCTGTCATTATGAGGGTGAGATCATAATGTTGTTTTTACCCTGCCTCCATGTTCTGAAATAGTTAGATTGCCACCAAGTAACGTCATGTGAACTTTACGCCATCGAAGGCCACCCAGGACCTTTTCAGCTTAGACTACTTTTAATTTTGTACAATCAGTGATGATAACAACATGGCGGATTTAGGAGGAGACTGTGGGTCATGTCGATTGTTAGCCAGATTAAATAGATACGGACTACAGGCTAGAAGGCCAACAATCCTCTAACAGCATCGTCATGGCAGCGGTTGTAATTATTTAAACACAAGCGTGACGAACATCGACTATTTTCCAATCGTACTTCTTTAAATACCGTCAGGCCAAGGCCTACTTTACCTTTAATGAAGCCTAGGTATGTTCGGAGAGTTTATTGAGAAGTCTGTGGTAATTATTTAAATAAATATGTTTCTGACTGTGTACCGTATTATGTAGGCTATAATTTAATTGATTTTGCAACAATGGGGTTACAGCTACAGATAATGAGATATAAAACAATGTATTTGGGAATTACAGTCGACAATTAGTATCTGCCGTTATTAATATGCAGGGTAAATGAATAAAATAACAAGTTACGGTACTTTGAAAGAGTTTAATTGGATTGGACATAGACCTATTAAAAATTAACCCAGCCGTTCCATAACTCTTAATGTTGCAGTCGTCTGCCTACCGTCTAATTTTTCAGGCCGAAAGCAGTAGGTGTCCAGACGTATCTGTATGGAAATCGCGAGATAAGATTCATACATTTTTATTCTTCTGTAACAGATACAGAGCGTTAAGACAAGACTTTAAAGCTTCCAACAGCAATAGGCTGATAATTCAGTATTGTTATAGATAACAGATCTATTGCACCAACTCATCGTTTTATAAACTCTTGACTAACGAGTTTTTTCGTTAAAGCGTTTGAAAAGTGAATATGCCTGCTTTCTTTCCGATACTGTATTCGTAATTAATTTTCACAAAATTCAAGCACATCTTTTAGTTTCATTAGTTAAAAAGTGATTTGTACTAATGCATAAGTAATTATAGAGATTGCAAAGGAGTGTCGAAATCGAAACGGCACGTGTGCGTATCGTTGATTTAACGATCCAACATGGCTGCCATTTCAGACCCGCTAGTGAGATCACTGAATGTGCAGGCTCATATACCACTCAGGCGCTCTGTCTTTGCGGATGCGCAAAGATATCTTGCCAGTGATGGTCAGCTGTGACGGGAAAGGCCTCCGGAAATGCGCCTTAGGCATGTAACTCTGAATTCCAGGGATACCCTACGGCACCACAATGTACGTGTACGGTTCCGAGATCACGTAGACATGTAATATGTGTGTGCCTAGTGTAAATTCACGGTGAAAATCTGGCGTGAACGGTGCCGCGGTGGGTCTGGGATCATGGCGTCGGTCGCAGCCGAGACCCCAGCCGGCCACGGGCACAGCTTCAGCAAGAAAACGTTCCACAAGCCCACCTACTGTCACCACTGCAGCGACATGCTCTGGGGGCTCATACAGCAGGGGTACATCTGCGAAGGTAAATGCATTTTTTATTTGACATGTACAAAAATGGCGTGTGTATGTGTGGTTCTTCACGCGGGTAGGTGAGGGGTGAAGTATTGGGGATCGCCGCTGCAGCCGAGGCCCGGGCTGTTTTGTTCCCCGACAGCATCCAGTTGACCCCCCACTCCACCCTTCTCTTACAGGATGGACCGTACGGTTCTCTCTGATTATCACTTTATTAAAAAAGAAATATCTCTGTTAAATCAGTCTTATGTTCCTGTTTGTTCCTCGAAACAGTGTTGTGGGACATCGACGTTTGTAAATTGGACTGGAGGGAGGGGCTTGAGTTTGGGTCCTTTTCGACACCGACAATTAAGAATACGTTGTATTCTGTGCACTGAAAATTGCTGTCACGTTTATTTCGCAACACAATACTCATCAGAATTGGTTTTACGAAGTGATAGTTGGTTAATGACATGTACCGACGTACCAACTTCTACTACATTTAGTAAATGTGCTAGGGACTCGAATATACCTTCAGAAGTTTTGTAAACAATGTCCTTAATATTTGTTTCCTGTACAATAAAACATGAATGACCGTTTTGTGACAGAAGTAACTTGCACGTATGTTATAATTACTCAACTTTGACAGCTGAGGTGTAACATTTCTGAGATATTCTCTCCCTCTGACCATTTCTGTTTAAAGAGATATAAAAGACATTTGTTCTGTTGTTATACGTTAAATGTAATCTTCGGCTTCGTACTGTGTGTAACGCTCGTACGTAAGAGAGTGGGTCAAGTTCTTCATGCACTAACGAATGCGGCATATGATCGATCCGTGAATGGACCAAGACCAGTACTGTGAAAATCTTGGCACAAACATGACTTTCTGTAAGACTGACTACGTGGAGTCGAAAGTTCTCACTCCGAACTCGTTCAAATGATTATATTTGGT